GATAATTTAAATACCCGTATTCGAATACCAATTGGAATTATAAACAAGCTGAATACATATATATATCTAAAGTATTTCATCAAGTAATAAACGATTACATAATCATACTCATCATACAAGTAAGCAATACAATGATAATTATGATTAGAGTAGAAAAGTATGCTAAAGAAAAACGTAAGTGTTCACCAATAGATTACATAATTCATTACATCACATGTAATAGCTATTTTGTTTAAGCAAAGAAATGAGATGTATGTATGTATGTATGTATTATCAGTACATTTTTGAGTAGAATGATGTTGATATCATGTATCATAATGAATATAGTCATACACATGATAAGACAATTCACTACTGTTTATGTAATTATCAAATCAGATGAAAGTGAACATGTGAAAGGCTACTATGAAACTGATACTTACTATATGATGCCAATGAAAATTTCGATTTTAACTATAATGCTATGGTTATGAGTATATAAAACTGAAATTTTTATTAAATTTTGAGGGGGTTGTGGAGATTTGGAATTATTTCAAGTTGTTATTCATCGAAGACTGACATCAGTTGGAGGAACAAGGGAAACCTGGGAGCACTGGACAGTTGTTTCGTTCGACTAGTATGGGACTCCTCAGCAGTGCGCACCCACCACCCCAACCCGCCAGGGATCGAACCCGCGACCTTCAGGTACCGTGGCAACCGCGTTACCATTGAGCCACTGGGTCAGAATCCAATGCTCCATATTTCCAACTTCTGTTAGCTCACGATATAGCGCAAGCCGCCACCCAATGTCATCGTTGAGTATTTGTCCTCATGGCCATCAGGCTTTGACTCCACCGGTCACGACTTGTCACTAGAACTTCGGGAATACTTCTCGAAGCTAGTCACCAACGAGCACTAGTTCTAGGTCTGCGCTATATCGTGAGCTAACAGAAGTTGGAAATATGGAGCATTGGATTCTGACCCAGTGGCTAGCTCAATGGTAACGCGCTGGTCGCGGAACCTGAAGGTCGCGGGTTCGATCCCTGCTGGTGGGGTCGTGGGTGCGCACTGCTGAGGAGTCCCATACTGGTTGGACGAAACAGCTGTCCAGTGCTCCCAGGTTTCCTTTGTTCCTCCAACTGATGTCAGTCTACGATGAATAACAACTTGAAATTTTTACTCATAGACAATCGACTTCGTTATATGATTAGTAGATAGATAGAATCAATACAGTCTACAATCTTTCAACAGTCGGTGACTTCATGAATTGATGTCATATTCCGTCTTAATCGAAGTAGGCGGTGGTTTGGTATGCGTAAACCATATATTCAAGCCACCTACCTGTCTCAGTCGACTAAAGTTCATTAACCTCATTCATTCACTGATTTGCCTAGTACTCTTCATCTGAATTGAACATTATTCATACGGTGATTGTATTAAACGAGAGTAACCACCTCTTCATGTCTTCTACTGGCAATAGAATCGACGAGGTGCATTTAATCCTGGATGTACATATGATGTCGACTAAGAATTGCTTAATGCCAAAATTGAAAATTGAGCCTAATTACTGTGCTACATTATACTTTTGTACTCTTTTAACTTCATGTCTTTCTTATCATAGCTTCCTTTTGTGACTATTCATTATTGTGATTCTGTCTACTACTATGATAGAAACGACCTTGTGCACATTAAGGCAGTAGGATATGAACCAGACCTTTCGTGTATTCAGGCTAATGCTACTACTACTATAATTGTTGTCATTCCTTGGCTTGTCACAATATCCGTATGGGTCTCCATATCCTGTGAACAATCTGTCGTATTTCCTAACCAACTTCAAGATGTTTGGCGCTTCTGGGTGTGGTGCTCTCGATATCTTAATCTCTGCTACCTCACTGTTTTCCTGCGTGGTGAACGACCCGTACTTCGTCGCCACTATTCCTGTTCTCGTATTAATAACTGCACCCACTTCTCTCAGAAAATTAGCACCTAGGATTGGCCGTTGTAGACGCGTGGTCACAATGAGTGGAAATCTCATTTTCCGACTTGCGATCTCGACGACGCAATCTGATAAGCCTGCGATTTCTAATGCATGTCCCTCAACCGTGTGGACCGTTAGCGCATATGGTTTTATGTCCTGAGACTGACTCTTATCTATCAGCAAGACTGCTGCCCCCGTACCTACTAGACACACGATCTTCTGATCAACAACATATAGTCTAGTCGGAAAATGTTTTCTTTTTCACCTCTCCGGACAGTTTCTTCGCCAGTGTCAGTTTTCAGCAAGCAAAACATTAACTGTGTCTGTTGGTATTCACTCGAAGTGCAGCCACCTCCTCTTGAAGGTTATCGACTTGTTTTCCCCAGTTATTTACATATGGTGACCCCACCTGAGCTATTATTGTACATAGCAACTGTCTGGTCACCTTGGCCATCTCACTAATATCCATGGGTTGGGTTGCGTTCACTAGTCGTAGCTGCTGGGCGATAGCATTCGGGACACTTTAGGTGAACTGTGCAGCCAACTGCTCATCGGAAGTGAGAAGTGTTCGTCGAAGTAGTTTTGTCCACTTCATAGCCAATACCAGCGGGTCTTCATTTAATCCAAGTCTCATGCTCCGGAACTGATGCATCGCCAGCTCCCTGTCCACTGGGCTGTCGAAATCCACTCCACTCGTTCCACACCTGCATATGCTGCTCTCGCTCTACCCCTCAGCAACATGCCAAGCACCACAACCCTCACCCCTGGATCCCGGACACCACCGCCAGCTCCACAACCGACTCGAAGTGTCTGAGGTAGACACCTTGATGTCTCCATCCTTGAACACTACAGGTCACGGAAACCTCATCATGTTCAAAAGCAACGATATCAATTGTAGGGAACGAGGAAGGAATGATTTTGTCCACCCTTTCGACATATACTACTTATATCCATTCTGACCAGCAGCGCCCACTACACCACTGTTTGACTGCTAGTCAAACCTCGGTAGGTAGAGTAGGGTTCGGACCCATTCACAACTTGGTTAATTGTTATATGGAACAGATTTTTAAATGTTTCAACTTAAAATTACTCGATCAGTTTTGACCTTTTACACTTTTTATTTAAATGAAAAAAAAAACAATCAACCGAGAAGTGTACACAAACATTTTATCAGTTTTACACTGTTAAACCGTATAATAATATGAAAGTTTTTTCAAACATAATAAACAGAGACATTATTACAGATAATAAATTGATATGCAGAATTTTGAAAATGATTATACACAATAATGGTATTATGATTACTTTTGAACTAAATCACCATAGACAGAGTCTTCAATTACTACTGATACTCAACATCAGTCCTAAGTCCTAAGTAGTAAAGTCTTCACTTTTTCGAAAGGACTTAAACAAACAATCAATTATCTGAAGGTTTTAGGCTGTAATTCATCATAGGCAGATAACAGATGAAGGAACATTAGAAACCTGAGAGCACTAAACAATTGTATGGGACCCCTCAGCAATAGCGCACCCATGGCCCCAAAGCACCAGTCATCACCATCATCAATACCAACATAGGACCAGACACTACTGTGTAACCCTCCGAGCTCCTACACCTCATATCACTACATCAAGTAAAATGGTAGTAAAGTCGAACATGAAGAAAGAAAATCCCATCGAAAGGAATATAAAGTACGAAAAGAAAGAGAGAGAAAGCAAGAATGAGAAAACGGTGAGATCCAGTATAGCATCGTTAAGATAAGGATAATTTCTGAGGGGATACAACATCTGCACCATTGACATCAGTCCTCACCCATATCACCTACAGTCAGTCTCCAACCACTGGTGATTTCTCTTCTCCCACGGACCCCAAACACCTAGTCTCCATCGACTCACATGGCTCAAACCAACAATCAAAGACTTCATACATTGATGCCATGTTTTAGTCTGACCGCCTCGAGCCTTTTTCCAGTTTAAATCTACTTCAGACAAGACAATATTGTGTAAAAAGGCAGACAGCGACTAGGCATACGCGTAATACATGTCCCGACCAGCCATCTCAGTCGACGAAGGTTCACAAAACCGTATCAACTCACTTACCTCTTCTCCATAAAACTCTACACCTGACGTCAGCGTTACTCGGAATACGACCTATACTACGGAGGTAACAGTGGTCAAATACCTGAAGCCTTCTCATAAATAGAACAAGCAGCACAGGTAGCAGAAAAGGGTTAAAATCGACAGAATCAGTGGCAGACGATCCATACTGATAGTAATCGATAAAAGAGAGTTTATAATGGTTTACTGCCACCGATTTTGCTATTCTATTCTATTCATCACGAAGTGACATCATTTGGAAAACCACTGAAAACTACCGGAGAGCACTGGACAACTGTTTCGTCCTAGCGTGAGACTCTTCAGCAGCACTCACCTATCCTATGTTCACATAAAAACTTAAGATTGTGAACCTCATCATCAAATATCCCCAACCAACTGAAAGCTAAACGTGAAACATCAGGTGATATAAGAATAGTGGGTAACGAGAAAAACAGAAGTTGGAAATATGGACCCAGTGGCTAACTCAATGGTAACATGCTGGCCACGGAACCTGAAGGTCGCTGCTTCAATCCCTGACGGTGTCGTGGGTGCGCGATGCTGTCCAGTGCTCCCAGATTTCCTTTGTTCCTCCAATTGATGTCAGTCTAAGATGAATAACAACTTGAAAAGAAAAGTACCTTGACATATGTTTAATTGATAAAAGAAAAAGGATTATTTATCTTTACACATAACCAATAACACTCATGAAAACAATAATACAACACATAGCTAATTCGCAGTTATTCACCGTGTTTTTCTATGCACTATAAAAAAAATACAGACGAATATGAACCGTGAACAAAAAACATTTCAGGAGAATCTTTCAGACTCACAACTTGATGAGTACTCTACTGAGAAATGTGAATCTTGCATAAAGCTATTCGGCAGTACCAATGCATAGGACAAAGAGATACAGAAAAGTATATATATATATATATGTACTTACCTGCATATTCGTCTAACTCCCCATCATCTTCACTTTCAAAGCGTACACTCCCATCGTTTAGCGAATAGCGGCTAGCAGCAATTCTTGGTTCTTCCCTAAACAAACAAATTGAAATCCATGAAGAGATAAATACACTAATCAACCAAAAGTTAATTCAACAAACAAAATGATAGACGTGAACAGTCATAATATGTTAAAAACCAAAGGTTACTCTTCATCATGGAGTGATATATCCACTTGGGAGCACTGTTCGGTACTGCTTACGGACATACTTTAAGATGGAATTCACCAAGTACTAATATGATGATGCGACTGGTAGGACCGACCAAATCGAATGTGAGGACAGTTACTCAACGACAATATTGGATAAAAGCCGCATTATATCACGAACTGACAGGAGTACAGAAATGCTGATCAGTGGATTCCCGCCTTGTGGTTGAATAGTGACATACTAGTCACGAAACCTGAAGTTCTTGGGTCCAGTCACTGGCGGGAGGGATCATGGGTGCGCACTGCTGTGCAGTCCCGTACTAGGATGAAGCAATTATCCAGTGCTCGGAGGTTTTTAATGATCCACCTACTGATGTCAGCTCATGATGAATTTATTATGAATATTATTTGTCCCTTGGGTTCCTAATGCAATATAGGGATTCACTAACACGTCTCCATTCCACTATCTTCTCTCAAATCTTTTCAACCTAGCTCCATGATAGCCCATAAGCTCTCACTTACTCCTCACACCATCTCCTCCATGTCACCCTCACCTCGGACGACCAACTTGTCGTTTCCCCGTTGAATTTCACTCGAGCAACTGGCCTGATGCGTGATGTCCCAAATCGGCCTTCTCAGTGTATCCTCAATACAGTCCATCTCCACTTCCTTGGGAATGTTTGTTGAGTGATAGGTTCTTGCTTAGTTGATTCGTTACCACCCAGACAGAGTTCCTTGTTGCTTATTCTCATTCTTCTGGCCATCTGAATTTCAGTATCCAGTGAGCGTAGGTGGCAGTTGTTGATGAATGTCTGTAGTTTGTTGGAAATGCCTTTCGTAACGCGCCACGTCTCCGAACTATACAGAAGCAGTGACTTGACTGAATTGGTGTTGAAAATCCGGATCTTGTTCCACATGCTTAGTGCAGAAAACCTGCACACTGGTTTTAGGGTAATGAACACCTGTATTGCTTTTCCGATCCTGACTGACTTTGACGTCCTCGTCTGTGCAGCCGCTATCTGTAGTTGAAACAGTGCTGCCTAGATAGGTGAAGGAGGTTACTTCCTTTAAGTTTCTCCCGTTGATGGTGATTGGAGCTTGTTGTTGGTTGTTCATCACATCTGTCGTCTTTATATCTACTTGAAGTTCCGTGTTCACTGCCTCGTCTCTTCTGTTAACTTGTTGGTTTTCGCCTGTAGATCTTCAAGTTTGTGCGACATCAGACACAAGTCATCATTGGCGAAATCCAAATCTTCTAGGTTCTTTTCCGCAGTCCAGCCAGCGTATCCCCCTCTTCTCGTTCCTCACTGTTTGTTGCACGATCCAGTCCACTACAATCAGGAATATCATGGGGGATAGTAGGCAACCTTGTTTCACTCCTGTCTTCACTCCACCTCAAAAGCATCACTGAGCTTCCCATTGTGAATTACTTGGCTGGCATGTGGCGTCTTCATATAGTTGTTGAATGAGGCTAATAAAGGTTTGCGGTATTCCGTAGTGGTGAAGCAGTTTCCAAATTACTTCTAATAACTAGTGAACTAGTTAACCAGGCGAGGTTCATGATGAATACAAACATGAAATCAATAAATAAATCCCCACAAACGCGCTCTCTTAGTACTTTTAGATGCTGGAACTATACAATGAGACTGTTAGAACGACATTACACAGCCACCTTAATATTTTATGATAGACATTTGAGGACAAACTAAGAAGACAAGCCTTGTACAGTATTCATACTGTCTCGCAATCATATCGGTAAAGGTGAAAATGTAAAGAGGTTCAAAAATAGCTGAGTTCTACAGAATGTCTTCAATGAAGCCATATGGAGCAGACAACCAAACGCTTCAATTTTTTACTGGAATAAAGAAGACAAAAAAGGTACTACCCCCTGACTCGGGTTCAAAAGGTCGAAAATATAAAAATGCTCCATTGTGGATCCAAGCTCATGATATTTCGACTTATAACTATAGGTTTTAAGCTTGTTTAGGTCTAATAGCTTGATACTAGGCTACCACCTTGCTTACTATTTACAGAGCCTATCTTTATTACAGCCTAGGCTATATTCATATTCAGAGCTGAAAGTTATATACTACCATTGTGTACGGTTTACAATGATGTTTGACAATGAAAGCTTATTGTATGTAAAATTGGTTGGCTGGGTGAACAATTTCATTGAATTTGGTGGCTGCTAACATCGTTCTCAACGGCCTAACGAATCATTGGGGCATTTTAATACAAGCTACCCTTGCCTATAATACTGTGTTCGACAGGTCGTGTAAACGGGATAGGTTAGAACTGACTTGTTCACACTCAGTGCATAATTGATTGACATGATCACTGATCGGAATAACAATCATGCTTGCTTGTGTAAACAAATGATGTGAATGGTCCACTGGGGTAAAAGCACTACAGGATGAGACTGTTTACCGTCATGGTTTTAAAATGCTTAGATGTGTGTTCTATTCTCTCCTGGAAATCAATGTATAAATATCCGTTCAAATGACGGATATGTATTATATGCTGTGAAAAACAGGTCGATCCTACCAGTACTCATATGTTTATCTCAGAGATTAATCCATCCAAGTCTAAGTACATACCTTAATAGGGTGAAACCACGAATGGCTCATTAAATCAACTATGATTACTTGGGTACATAAACGCTACATGCGTAACTGTAGTAATTCTAGAGCTAATACATACCATTATGCCCTGACCCGCAAGGCGACAGGTAGATTTATTAGAACAGAACCAACCCAGATAAGGTAGTCGAGAAGACTTCTCCTCAATTTATTTGCTTATGTGAAACTAGTTTTACTGTTCGAATAAAATGTACTTCTTACAAACCCATTCAATAGTTAAGAGTTGTGTGCAAATCAATTAACAGTGAGATGATCAAACAGTTGATCATTTCATTACGAATTGATACCAGTTGGAGAATCACTTAATACACGAAATTGTGGAGCATTGAAAAGTTTTTCCATCATCATCATCAACATAGGACCAGGCATTACTGCGTAACGGTCCGACTTCCCACCACACCTCATATCACCACATCAAGTAAAAAGGTAGTGAGGTGAAGGATGAAGATAAGAGAATGCAGTCAAAAGAAATATAAAGTACGAGAAGAAGGGAAAGAGGAGTGACAAAATGATGAGATTCGGTATAGCGTTGTTAAGATGAGGATAATGTGTGTGGGGATACATCTGCACCACTCACATCGGTTCTCACCCATATCACCTACAGTCATCTACAACCACTGGTTCCTCTTCTCCCACAGACCCCAACCACATAGTCTGCATCGCCCCCACTCTGCATGGCTTAAACCAACAGTCACAGACTTCATACATTGGTGCCATGTTTTAGTCTGGCCACCTCGGGCCTTTTTCCAGCCTGCATCCACCTCAGCCAACATTGTGTGACGAGGCAATCGGTGACTAGGCATACGTAGTACGTGTCCCAACCATCTCAGTCGATGAAGGTTCACAACCTCGTCAACTGACTTACCTCTTCTCCCTCCCTAAAACTCTACACCTAACTTCTGCATTACTCACATGGTGACACCACGGAATACGTCCTATACTACGAAGGCAACGGTGGTCAAACACCTGAAGCCTTTTTATATCCTCCACTTTCAATGGCCATGTTTCACAGCCTTATAGTAGAACAGAGCGGACTGCTGTGCAGTACACGCGACCCTTAATAGACAAACGAATATCACAGAGGCGCCATAGGTGGCGCAAATTGGCAAAAGCCAATCGAGCCTTTTGTATCCGTGCAGAAATCTCATCGGCAACTAACCCACCGGGAAGTGTGATCCTACTTCCCAGGTAAGTGAAGTAGTCGACACACTCAACCACTTCACTCTCTATTGTTAACCGCGGTACCGCTGAAGACCAGTCAGTCCTGGAGCAAAAATTTGCATTTGGGTGGTGAAAATCGCATCCCAAACATTCTCAAATTCCCACTCAAAGTGTTCAGAAGACTCTGCATCTTGTCAGCGTCTTCACCTAACAGGACTATGTCATCTGCATATTCTAGATCTAAAGAAAATTCACCTGTGATCGGGTCAACGTCTGTGTAATTAGGTGACGAGAGGGAAACCTCCATAAGAATATCTATGATAAAATTAAATAAGAATGGGGAGAGTGGGCATCCTTGACGGACACCACTTGATGAGTATAGCTCCCTGGACAACTCGCCATAGGCTCTAACATGCCCACAAGTGTTCGAGTAGAGAGCTTTCAATAACGTGATGTACTTACTAGGCACGCCTTTCAGTGACAGACATTGCCATAAGACTTCTCGATCAACGGAGTCAAATGCCGCCTTCAGGTCGAGAAATACAGCTATTGTCGGGCGTCTGTAAGCATGCCTATGTTCCAGGACCTGGCGCAGTGTGAATATTTGGTCGATACATCCACGGCCAGGTCTAAAGCCTGCCTGGTTTTCTCGGGCTTGCTGTTCCCGAGCTCCACTCAGGCGTCGGAGAATTATAGAACTTAGGATCTTAGACACTATGTTCGTCAGGCTGATTCCTCTGTGGTTATCACAAGAGGACTTCTCGCCTTTCTTGAAGACTGGGATGATGAGTGACTTAGACCAGTCGGAGGGGATCGTAAAAGTTTTTCCAGTGTAACTCGAACAGGTTGGTTACTGACAAAATCTCAGCAGGGATGCAGAAGGCCCGTATGGCATTTGCCAACTAACATCATCTCTGGTACCGTCTGGTGAGATCATCCGACTATACTACGTTCAGTTCTGTCCTGTTTTACTGCTGTGAGACATGACCGTTAAAAGTGTTGAGGTCAGGTGAAGGATACTAGATAAGAGACAGGCAAGTTAGTGGATTGATGAAGTTGTGAACCTTAATCGACTCAGGAAGTGG